AAAAATTCTAGATTCAAGGAATGAACTTATATATAGTACGTACAACAGATCCCTGAAAACACACTAAAATTCTCGAGATTAAAACTCAGCTCTTTTATTTGTTTTCTCGAAATCTGTGATAATTCTAGAGTCTTGAGTTTTGATATTTATAGACTTGCCAAGCTTCCACTCTTCAGCCCATGATCTGCAAGAAAACCAACCACAAGAGCACTCAAGATAATGGGTTAGTGGGTTAGTTAGGAAGTTAAGATAAATCCCATAATTAAATCCACTAAGCACTACTTAACCCTACTAAGCCCACTAACTAAGATTTAGTTTAGAAGTTAAGAAAAGTTAAAAACACATTGTGAAATTAATTCACGTGTTTCAAATAATAATATCAAGGCTGGTTGTGCACAATTTTGCACGTCCAAAATTCCTTTACAAACGATCTCTTAATGTGCCGGAAAAGGTAATGAGAAATAATTTTCTGGTGTACAAAAAAAAGAAAAGAGAGACGAACGTGTGTTTATTCAATACCTAATAGCCTTTAATCTACAATAAACCGTATGTCTCATAGTTGTAGAAGAGACTTAGAAGCAGGCAATCTTTGAATCTAATTCTATGATTAGGGACTTATCCTAATTTATATTTATTAAGTGATTAGAACTCTACATTTACTCTAGATCACGTATCTTTGATAGAGAATCCGCGTTGATATGGCAACTTCCATTAATAATAGACTTGGGGCAGATGAAAGCCCGTTGTGGGTAAGGAACCGAGCTTTAACGAACCTTTATCAGTGAGCCTCGTTAATACTTCAACGTACCCACAAAAAAAAAAATTTATGTTGATGAAAATATCCTATAGTTAACACCCAAACTATCAAGGTCCCAATAATGTGATTCGGCCCATGTGTCCGAATGGACCCCATCACAAGTCACAACAACGTACTCGGAAATTTATTGCGAAATTTAAACATAAATTAGAAGAGCAACTATGACTAGCCATATTAAGCATCTATTTATAGGCTTCAAATGCGTGTTCGTAGAGGGACATAATTTTTGGATCGGAGTAGAAATTGGAAGTGCCCCTTCGTTCCGTACGACAATTATTTTCAATTTAAGAAACATTCTTTAACGAAATACATTAGTTAAAATTCTCCCCGTCTTCATGATAAAATTCTACTCTTTCCCTTGTTTGGAATATTAGACTTAGCCCCCAAAATCATAATCGTTATTCTACAACTTCAACTAAGGATGAGCGGATTAAACTCGCAAAAAAATATTGTGTAGCTATTGGACTAACACATTCGTTAATAGCAATAAATCTTAATATAAAGAGATACACGGGTTCTTTAATGTTCTCAAAATTTGTGAAAACCGTCACACAAATTCTAAGTCTAAGGGCTTTGTTTTAATTGTCCTATATAGTTTCTTTAAATTAGTGATTGTGTAGGATCTACACCCTCAAGACCTCCTTCTAAGTCCAATTCTCTTGACCGCTGGAAAATCCACCAAAGGCCGGTCTTTCGCCAGAGAAGACGAATCATGACCCTAATAGGGTCTTTACATTCATTTATTTAGAGGGTTTCTAATTATGCATTTCCTAATTTAAATCTATTTATTTATCTTAGTTTACACGTTTTCTTTATCTATTTAGGAAGAGCATCTTCGAGTCTTCTTCTTCCATGAATCTCCTTCAGCTCGCTATATACCCTTTCTATCGTCTGTTTGCGTGTTTGGATGAACTGGCGAGCTCGATAACCACATATCGCAGGAGCATCGTCTAACGAGCTATGTACCACTGAGGTTTTCTTCCGGCGAGCTTGTAGAAGAGTCCATGTCTATGATACGTATTGGGCTTTTGGGCCCAACAAATCAATCTCGGCCCACATATTCTTGTCTTTGCATTGTTTAATAAGCCCAATTTGAGAGATTTTGGTCCAACATTCTCAAACGGACCCATCAATCCCATCAATTAGTAATATAGAAATGATCATGAGACATGAGGTAATCTGAAAAACTATAATACATGATACATACAAATTACAATTGGTACTTATTTTCATTTATTTGTTTAATTTTACAGATTCACTACTTGTGTCGAATTTAATATATATGTTCTTTGTGGATGGATTTTCTTCTCTATCCAAATTCTTGAAGAGTATGATGTTGCTTTGATTAATGAACTTGAGTAGAAGGTGCACGTGCTTTTAAAATACAACTATATACGTGCCATTTATATAAGTATAATAATTTTTTTCTTACCATAAGATATTTTATTTTTTTTCTTGTCAATTGTAATAGCATGATAGCACTAAAATTATGTTAGTATACTATAAGCTTAATATTATTATTTCATATTTCAATTTCTATTTAGTGTTTAATTATATTGTTGGTTAGCAAAATGGAATCATTTATTTTTCGTTATCAGAATTTGATAGTTTTCGCTACAAGAAAAAAATGGTTTCAGTGATACCATAATCGTGACACTATCAAAAGTCGTCGCTAATTACACATATTCACTGACAACACTTATTAGAACAAAGTCGATTTTGGACCCCCACACCTCGAACTTTAAACACATAGAGCTGACATAGGAACCATCAAAATTTTCCTCAATTGTTTTCTTGAAAAAAAAAATCTTAGAAAGTAATTGCAACTTGTTCAACTCTTGAGACTTGAATTAGATCAATAATGCATTAGCTTATTTCCATCCAATCATAGTGATAATTGAAGATGCTGACTCAAACAAAAACCTACCCATTCCAATATCTCAGCACCATCACACTAAAATCGACGGCCTTAAACAATGGTGGGCCCACCTGGATAAACCCCTCCACCAAGAAAACTGAATTATAACCAAGGTCGGCTAGACCTAATTGTTGATTCCAAGAACCAAGACACCTGTCTTTTCTCCGCCCAATCATCGCTCGACACGTACCCATCACACAAACGCCACCATTTTTAACCCTGTCCCCCCTGTGGGCCCCACTGGTAGGGCGGAGTTACCACAAACCAGTCGGAACCTTCCAAATTTAGCAAATTCATAAAAACAAACAGAAACTCGGAATTAGATTGATTCTATTCCAATTTTTGATCAATTCCAAATTCAAGAACTCAAATTGCACAATTTACCAAACACACTGAAAACTATTCATTCATATTCATGGGATTCAGAGGTTGGATTACATTTTCACAACATTGTCTTATTTCAAACATCTATCCTTGGCTATATATATATATATATATATTTCACATATATCTATACTAGTAAAAGCTGGTTCTATATACAATGTACCAAACACCCTATTGCAAAGATATATTTCACTATAATATATATTTTTATATTTATATATTATATCATAACAGAGGCAGATTTCTTCTTCTTTGATCTTCTTCTTCTTGTTGTTGTTGGGAATTTAGGGTTAATTCTATATTTCTATAGGGAGCCCACCCATGGGTGCTCGATGCGGAATGCCCTTTCTGCGCTTGGTGGATCGGTAATTAGCCGATGTTCGGGGAGGTGTGGACGGAGAGAAACTAGGGAATAATATGGTGGCTTTCCGGCCGTGATGGCTGCTGCTGCTGCTACCGCTGTACGAATCGCCCGACTCTTCCGATGTGGCCATTGTGGGCGGCAGCGGAGCGGCCCTCTTCCTATCTGGCGACTGCTTCTTGTGCTTTCGGAAATTCATTGACGACCCAACAATCTGAAGAAAAATACAATTGAAGAATTCAAACAACAATACCCAAAAAGTCAACACACATTACCAAGAAAATGAATAAAAATGAAATCCCATTACAATGGGGGAAGAATTTTAAGAATTTTATTTACCTTGCAGCCAAGAGAGCAGAATCTGAAGGAGTCGAGAAGGCTGCGATCACATACATCGCAGGTGTTTGTAACTCCTTTACCGGGCCTGGGCTGCGGCCTCTCATTCAAGAAGACAACCTTAGCACTGTTGATTATGTATGTCTGAACAGAGCCAATGTCTAGATACTTTTGAATTTCTGAAACTCTTATAACATCATGGTACGATGACCTCCTTATCTGTCAAAAACAATGGAAACAAACAATCAGTATTTCTCAAGTCAACGCCGGAAAGAAAATAAATAGAAATGGCCCATAAAAACAGGGGAACTTGAAATTTGACAAAAATGGCAGAAAAACCCAAATGCTAAAAGTGGGATCGAGAAACTGAATTAAAAAAAAAAAAAAAAAGGGCAAAAATGGAACCTGAATTGCTCGGTGGTCCTTGTGGTGAGACAAGCAGAGAGAACAGAGAGGGCCGTTTATACAGTCCAAACAATACATATTGCATTCACTCTTGTGGGAATCGGCGTGATATTTGCACTGAACGAAGAACTGTTCTTTCAGCAGAGCTTTCAACCATGGCGGCCATCGATTCTCCTCCTCGTCAGGTCCCTATTCGATATTAAAAAAAAACATTCAAGAAAAAATAAAAAAAGAACAGACTAAAACTGAACAGAAAATGGAAAAAGAAGAAGGCCAAAATCAATCAACAAATAAAACAAATGTATACCATACCATTATTCGCCTGTTCTTGGGCTTGATTTCACAAACTGCGGTTTCTTGGTTATCAATCGCCAGCTTTAATGACAGTAATAGAAAATGCGGAGGATTCTATGTTTGTTTGTTCTTAGAGAGAGAAAGAGGAGAGAGAGAGAGAGAGAAAGAGCTGGTGTGTGTAATGTGCGTGTTCTTTGGAGAAAAAGTAATGCTTTAAGGGGGGAAGGAAGAAGGGAAAGAAAGGTGGCTGTGGAAAAAGTTTTCAAGTGGAGGCGGTGAGTAGCGATTCTATCTACGGTC